CCAAGCGCAGCTCGGTATATGCGCAGGGGGCAGCAGGTTGTGAAGCCGCAAGGAGCCAAAGGCACATGCTGGCACAAGGGACCTGAAGACTGGTGAAGAACTGGTATGGGTGAGCCCGGTGCTGGATCCCTGGACAGCTAAGTGTCCCTTTATTAAAAGTCAGCAGCTACAGTATTTGTAACTGCTGGCTCTTAATTTCTTTTAATACAGGGCGAAAAAACCACTTTAAGTTGAATTAAGAAAAGTGAAAGAAACTTAAATATACATAAATATATAAAAATAATAAAAACATTAAAAGCACCCATCCCAGATATCACTAGACATGTGCAGAACGAAAACCTTTGTTTCAGACCGATTCATAAGTTTCGAATTTCGTTTTGTTTATTTGTTTTCAAAGGAAATCAAATTTTTCCCAAAAGATTTGAAGTATTTGAATCGAATTTGAATTGAAAATATCAAATCTATCCAAATTCATTGTGAATAATAGCTGGTTATATTCTATTCAAAATTCAAATTTCGGAAGACAGTTATATTCTTTCTATTTTATTCTATTCTAGTCTATTCTATTTTTTTTCTATTCCATTATTTTCTATTCTCTTTTCTTCTTTTCTATTATATCCTATTTTTTATATTCTTTTATTTTCTATATGTTTCTATTCTATTCTATTTATTTCTGGTTGGCCAGCACTACAGAGGAAAAGGATTTAGGGGTATTCAGTTCAAAGGATTGCAAAATGAGCAGTGTGGCCAGGCAGTGGGGGAAGCAAGAGGGGTCACCAGAAGGAGGAAGGAGGTCCTGATTCTCCTATATAGATCTTTAGTTAGACCTCATTCAGAATATTGTGTCCAGTTCTGGGGACCTCCCTTACAAAAAGATATTGATACGACAGAAGGAGTTCAGAGACGAGTACAAAAATGGTGAAAGGCCTGGGAGATAAAACATATCAGGAGAGACCGCAGGAACTTATTATGTACAGTCTGGAGGAAAGAAGGGAAAGGGGAGACATGACTGAATCCTTTAAATAGATCAAGGGGGTGAATAGTATTCAGGAGGGCAAGATTTTCAACATGAAACAAAATCAAGAACACGAGGACATGACCTTAAACTAACTGGAGAAAAGTTCAACTAACCAGAGGACAGTTGATGCTTGGAATATACTTCCAGCTGAGGTAGGGGTCTAGTCAACAGTAAATAGCTTCAAACATGCTTGGGACAAGCATATACAGGTGAAACTCGAAAAATTAGAATATCGTGCAAAAGTTCACTTATTTCAGTAATGCAACTTAAAAGGTGAAACTAATATATGAGATAGACTCATTACATGCAAAGCAAGATAGTTCAAGCCGTGATTTGTCATCATTGTGATGATTATGGCTTACAGCTCATGAAAACCCCAAATCCACAATCTAAGAAAATGAGAATATTCCATGCAATCAATAAAACAAGGATTGTACATAGAACAATATCGGACCTCTGAAAAGTATAAGCATGCATATGTACTCAGTACTTGGTTTGGGCCCCTTTTGCAGCAATTACTGCCTAAATGTGGTGTGGCATGGAAGCTATCAGCCTGTGGCACTGCTGAGGTGTTATGGAAGACCAGGATGCTTCAATAGCGGCCTTCAGCTCTTCTGCATTGTTTGGTCTCATGTCTCTCATCTTTCTCTTGGCAATGCCCCGCCGATCGCCACACTGCGTGCTCCCCGGAGCCGCGCATGCGTGGTGAGAATGAGAGGACGTTCTCCCAGAATGAGAGAACCACCTTGCGTCCATCATATTACTATATGGCGGGCGGGAGGTGGTTAATGTCCATCCTTCGACCCAGCACTGATACCTGGTTCTCAAGCTATACTGACAAACAGTATTCTGTCAATTGTGTATTGTTCTACTGGCCAAATGTTCTGTTTTATTGTTAAAGTGGAAGTTTAGTCAGAAAATTAAGTCCTGCTAGATCACTTCACGTTGGCCTCTTTTGCAGGTATACTGTAGCTGTGTAAAACATTAAAAATAAGTGCCTACACTGTTTAAAATCCAATATTACACTGTCTCACCCTGCTCTACACATGCTCAGTTGCTCTCTATTTTTAGACATTTTAGGGCACTGCTGAATTTGTAGACGCCAATCTGCTGACAGCCTTAAACTCTCCTATCCTTTACAGCCAAAGACATGCTCGTGTTTGATCTGCAACTGTCATTGTGCTGCACATATGAACAGTTATGACAGCAGCCATCTGATGGTTTGACAGTTTGGTTGAGGACACAAGCAAATGTGACAGTTAGCAATCCCGGGACTCCAGGAATCGATGGGTTTAGTTCCGCTGTATGATTTAACTGCTGTTCGGGGGCTCTGGGCTTCAACAAAAATGGCAGCCTCCAGCAAGAAGAAACAGGAACAATGCTGGAGGCAATTTACAGCACACAGTAATTTTAGTAGCATAATTATTAATGAGGAATGTATGTTCCTTGTTAAATAACATTATTTTTTATCAAGTTCAAATCTTAAAATAAAACATTAAATTAAACTAAATTAAGATTAAACTTTCAAAGATTAGTTTTGAACTTTCCTCCTGTTAGAAGAAGGTTGTGTCCCCATGTTCTTGATCATGGCTTCATAATGAAAATACTACCCTCTAGAACCGTATTCACCTCCCTAATGTATTAGGCTTTATTCACGTTTCTCCCCAAAAATTGCAACACACATGCAAGGAAGAAAGGATACGTGACAAGGTAGGCTAGAAGGCAGGAGAATGATTTAGAATGGGTGGGGAATGGTTTAAGGATATGACTTAGGAAAAGAGGAAGGTGTGGTCATAGCTTAGGGAAACATCAAGGAGGAAGTGTGGTGAGCAGTTTGGTTCACCCGCCGACTCTTTTGGCAAATGAGTGGGTATGGCTATGATTTAAACTGTATAAGTTTGGGGAACTGAGGTATGAGAATGGCAGACTTGTGGGGCATATTGTACTTTTGTCACAGCATTGGCGGGTCCTTCATGGTGCCAAAAAAGTAAGATCATTGGTAATGTTTGGATGAGTGGTTTAACCTTAGTGGTCACAAATATTTATGGTTATATGGTGTTCCTGAAGGAAGCACTTACTAAGGTTTATTCCAAGTGAATAATGGTGTAAAAATTACAGATATGTACCCACCAAGCTGGTTGTAGATGGCTAGTGGTCGGTATGGGTTTACAACAGAACATGATTTTCCAGGTGAATAATGGTGTAAAAATTACAGATATGTACCCACCAAGCTGGTTGTAGATGGCTAGTGGTCGGTATGGGTTTACAACAGAACATGATTTTCCAGGTGAATAATGGTGTAAAAATTACAGATATGTACCCACCAAGCTGGTTGTAGATGGCTAGTGGCCGGTATGGGTTTACAACAGAACATGATTTTCCAGGTGAATAATGGTGTAAAAATTACAGATATGTACCCACCAAGCTGGTTGTAGATGGCTAGTGGCGGTATGGGTTTACAACAGAACATGATTTTCCGTGAATAATGGTGTTTACAGATATGTACCCACCAAGCTGGTTGTAGAATGGCATGGGTTTACAACAGAACATGATTTTCCATGGTGTAAAAATACAGATATGAATAATGGTGGGTAAAAATTACAGATATGTACCCACCAAGCTGGTTGTAGATGGCTAGTGGCCGGTATGGGTTTACAACAGAACATGATTTTCCAGGTGAATAATGGTGTAACAATTACAGATATGTACCCACCAAGCTGGTTGTAGATGGCTAGTGGCCGGTATGGGTTTACAACAGAACATGATTTTCCAGGTGAATAATGGTGTAAAAATTACAGATATGTACCCACCAAGCTGGTTGTAGATGGCTAGTGGCCGGTATGGGTTTACAACAGAACATGATTTTCCAGGTGAATAATGGTGTAAAAATTATTGGTGTGTCCCCATCAAGCTTGTTATAGAAGGCTGGTGGCTGGTAAGGGTTTACAACAGAACATGCTATTGGGTGGCACTGTCAATTACCTGGCTTTAATGGTTGTATCAGAATTCTTGTATGTTTTTGAATAACTGGCGTTTAATCATGTTATTGTTGTTATGTTGTTTTTTATTAAAAACTGGTCATAAAACTCCAATGAAAATAATTGTGTCATATTGTATTATTTATGAGGTTTAATGTGTTTGGTTTTAATGTTCAATATCTCTCCGTCCCCCCAGCCCTACGTGGGTCATGTGTGTGGCAACGTTTTTAAGCAATGTGGAAATGTCAGCAGCCATTTGAATATGTTTTATCTGTACAATAGGTCTAATTACAATCTTATTGAGCGATTTAAAAGCACCATAAGGCTTATCACATGATAGCTGACTCACTATTTAGCAAAAGAAAAGCCTGACACATTTGTGTGGGCTTTTTACACCTGTAACCACATAGCAGATAATACATGCATATATACACAAAGATGTATACTATGATTCACTATAAAGCAAACAAACAATAAAACAGTTGCACTATGTGGAAAACAATAACTATTTAACCCTAGATACTACAAACACAAGAAAAGATAAAGCTGCCTCTACAAGTAAATGGGGACATGAGATAAATTCGATGAAGCCGAATGACATTGACTTAATCCTCAGGAATCAATGTCAAGTGAAGAGGGAGTGAAGATGGGTGAGTTTCTTTTAATATAATTAAACCTGGAACTTGGACGTCATGTGCCTGTATGAGGAGCTTGAGATGATGAGGGTGTCCTCTTGCACAATATAGGTATGAGCGTCCCTGAAAAGTGATACAGGACTTGGAATGCTGGTGTCAGGTAAGCAGAAGCACAGCGATGAGGGCATTCCAATTTTACCCAGACCAGTGGAGACAAGAACTGGGTCACAAGCCAACTTCAATAATTGTTGATCAGAAAGACACCAAATGGCGAGGTGGATCATAGTCAGAGATTAGCAAAGTTTGCCAATGTGCAGAAATCGAGGTATAGAATCGATAGGCAAAACATCTTAGTCATGAGTCCATTTAAGGTCAGTAATACAGGTAGGCAGCAGATCAGGGGTGGACTGACAACTCATGGGACCCCCAGGCAATAGGGGATCATGGGGCCCCTGTGTCCTCACCCACACTCAAACCACACCCAAAAAAAGCCTATGAAAGGTACCAGGGGCATCTCATGGGGCCCCCTACGGACCCCGGGCCCTCGGGCAGTGCCCAAGTACCCAAATGGTCAGTCCGCCCCTGCAGCAGATTTAAACAGACAGGGGTAATCCAGAAGAAAGAAAGATGGAAGCCAAATCAATAACAGAGTCAAGCCGATTCAAGATCAAGGATAACAGAGATACAAGCTGAAAGACCATCCAGCAATGATCCCATGCAGGGCCAAAGTTGAAATAGGCCACTGGCCACCAACATTTATAGTGAATGCTCCCATATGGCCATGTGCTTGCTGTTTTGGCCATGCATTCTTGCATGCTTAGTTAGGCTTCCACACCTGAAAAACATGTGCCTATTTATGCGTGCCTTAGGGCTGGCACAATCTCTCTGATGGCTGACATGATGTTCCTGACATTGGATCTTAATGGAACTGTAATATACATATGTGTTTTCTCAGCTACATCCAAAGGTGAGCAGTATCCATGATGGATATCCAAAGGATGCTGTATTGATATTTTTTTTCTTGTGTTGCAGTATCTTCTGACCTGTGTGGGATGCCTTGGAGATGGGCAAACCCAGGACTGAATTGCTATGCTCCCCTGTAATCCCAGGGGTTTTAATTAGAGATGAGCGAATTATTCAAAAATTCGGTTCGGCTGATTCGCCGAATTCGCGGAATAAATTCGCTTCGAGCCGAATATATTCGCTGCGAATTTAACTTATAAAAAGGGTGTTTCTAGGCCTCAGAGAGCCTTTATATTAGTGCAGAACACTGTACCTTTAATTTAAATGCCCTTGGAGTCTGCTGGGGAAGAGAAATAATACTGTCAGTCAGTATGACATGCAGATGAGTGCCGTCCATCTTAGAATCACCGCACACTTCACTCATTTTGGGCAGTGTCACGGGGCAGCAAAAGGCCATACAGACCCTATGTGGAGCCACTGAAAGTGGTGGAGTGTGGGATGGAGCAGCAGCAATGGGACAGGGGCCATACAGCACCCTATATTGACTATAGGAAAATGGAATGTCCACACCAGCAGTGTGAGGAGACCTGAAAGTGGCACATGGCAGAGTGTGGCGATGGAGACAGCAGCAATGGGAGGCCGTACAGGGACCCATGACACACTCTGGACCTGGCAGCAGCATGAGGAGGCGGTATATAGGGGCCCATGGCAGATTAGGGGCCTGGCAGCAGCTATGGGAGGCCCGTAATCTGCCAGCACCCTATGTCAAAAAATTGAACACACCAGCAGTGTGTGAGGAGACCTGAAAGTGGGCAGAGTACAGGGGCCAGACTACGGGCCTGGCAGCTGAAAGTGGCACATGGCAGAGATGTGGCGATGGAGACAGCAGCAATGGGAGGCCGTACAGGGACCCATGACAGACTCTGTACCTGGCAGCAGCAGCAGCTATGGGAGGCCCGTAATCTGCCAGCACCCTATGTCAAAAAATTGAACACACCAGCAGTGTGTGAGGAGACCTGAAAGTGGCACATGGCGAGTACGGGGGCCCATGGCAGGCAGATTACGGGGGCCCATGGCAGGGCCTGGCAGCAGCATGAGGAGGCGGTACAGGGGCCCATGGCAGAGTGGCGGAGCGTAAGCAGCTAAAATTGAAGGCCATACAGAGGCCTATGTTAAAAAGTCCCCCCAGCAGCAGCGTGGGGAGACGACTATCAAGAGTCCAATGGCAGAGTGGCGGAGCAGAAGCAGCTTCAATTGAAGGCCATACACAGGCCTAGGTTTAAAAGTCCCTCACAGTTAATTCCAATAACGAACTCTACTCCTCCGTGCAATCTACTTACGAGACCCTGGGCAGGTCTGGGTCCAATTTGTGGTAGAGACTGGTTTTGTTCAGCCATGCTTGAGCGAGTAATAACAGGTCTGTGCTGCCCTTTGGTGTCTGGCTTAATGCGCACAACACTGAACGTCCCAGCGTTTGTCAACGATTTGCCGTTAAGTGATGCAAACCCGCTGAACCACGTTCATGAGGAGCCGGTACAGGGGGCCATGAATCAGTATGGACCTGGCAGCAGCGTGAGCAGACGACAGAGGCACATGGCGCAGGGTGGCGGTGTAGGCAGCATTATTCTGAAGCCATACACAGGCCTAGGTTAAAAAGTGGAAGCCGTCAGCAGCGTGAGCAGACGACAGAGACACATGGCGCAGGGTGGCGGTGGATGCAGCAGTATTCGGAAGCCAAACACAGGCCTCGGTTAAAAAGCGGAAGCCGTCAGCAGCGTGAGCAGACGACAGAGGCACATGGCGCAGGGTGGCGGTGGAGGCAGCAGCAATGGAAGGCCATACAGCACCCTATCACAAAATGGAACCCACCAACAGTGTAAGGAGACCTGAAAGTGGCACATGGCAGAGTCTGGCGATGAAGTCAGCAGCAATGGGAGGCCGTACAGGGACCCATGACACACTCTGGACCTGGCAGCAGCAAGAGGAGGCGGTACAGGGGCCCATGGCAGAGTGGCGAAGCGTAAGCAGCTTAAATTGAAGGCCATACAGAGGCCTATGTTAAAAAGTCCCCCCAGCAGCAGTGTGGGGAGACGACTATCAAGAGTCCAATGGCAGAGTGGCGGAGCAGAAGCTTATGTCACTGGAATGCACTAATCACCCAAAAAATATTACCGCCACCCGGCGTGTAAATGGATCTAACTCTTTGAACGTACAATAGTGGTTGTGAAGCAGAAAGTCAGTTTATTGTACACAATCGGTCAATTGCAGCTTGCCGTTGGCTGGAAACTGTACGTTTGTGTCACTGGAATGCACTAATCACCCAAAAAATATTACCGCCAGCCGGCGTGTAAATGGATTTAACTCTTTGAACGTACAATAGTGGTTGTGAAGCAGAAAGTCAGTTTATTTTGCACAATCGGCAAACTGCAGCACCAACTGTGCACGACAGCCACCAAAAAAAAAAAAGGGTGTATGTCACTTTAAATTTTCGATTCTTTGATAGCTGTGGCCCTAAGTAACGATTCTGTGTCCCTGAGTAACGATTCTGTGTCCCTGAGTAACGATTCTGTGTCCCTGAGTAACGATTCTGTGGCCCTAAAGTCTCTGTGGCCCTAACTCTGTCCCTTAATACACACAGGTCTGTCTCTCTTGAATGACCGGAGGCTAATGGAGAATTCTAAGATGGCCGCGATTTATAGCTCCACCATTACACAGTGCTGGCTGGCTGCTGATTGGCTAATGCGATCACATGTCATGAATGCATTATGGGTCAGCGCGCCTTGTCTGTGCGCCTTCCCAGAGATCCCCGCCCCATCTTCTCTGTCCATTTTCTCCGTCGCCACACATGTCGCCGCCATTTTTGGGAAAATTCGATTCGTGCATCCGAAGTTTGCTAATCTTCGGATTCGTCGCGAATCGAATTTTTCCAAATCTTCGGAACGAATTCCACTTCGTCATGTTCGATTCGCTCATCTCTAGTTTTAATGTATATATATTTATAACTAGATGATCAGGCTCAGGTGTGACAATGCTCCAAATAATTGTTTGATACTCAGCTATGTTCAGAAGGCATATGAATACAGAGGAACATCTATTTTCAATGCTATTTGGCTAGCATTTAACCAACATTCCAAACATTCCCTATTGGGCAGGGAATGGTCAGAAAGGGAAGCTATGAAATTCCTCAATGGTGCAAGTTTTCCAAAATTCTCGCTCGAAAGAAGTCATTCATTAGATTAACATCTGTTGAGTGGGATTGGCTATAAATGAATCAAAATTCATTCAGTCCCAGCTAAACTGGTCAAATTTCCATCCATCTGTGGCCAACTTAAGAGATGTAGATTAGTTTAGTCCTCTCTCCAAGACTCAAAATGTGTAAGGTTTTTACGCTATGCAGTCCAGTAGAAACATTGTGCCAAGTAAATCTCCTGCCTAAGAAGAGATACCCTGAGAAGCTTGCTAATACTTTCAAATCTAGATTATTCTTAGCTGTATGCATTTCTGAAATAATTTTCACTTTTTTTTTTTCCTTGATCTCAGTTATGTTCACTTAAAATGCCCTAAGTGACCCCTGGTGATGAAGTGAAACAAGCTTCAGAGAGGCACACAGAAGTGGAAGTTTCTGGCTAACAAAGAAAATAAGCAGAACTTTGTGAAGTCTATGCTTGGGAAAGGTTTCAAATTTTTTATAATGTAAAATGACTGAAAGGTCAGTTAGCTCTCCAATGAGTTGTTCTTACTAAATACATTTGGCATTAATGTTACTGAAAAGCTTTCTAAACAAATGAGATAATAGGTTCAGATGAATAGTTCAGTCACCACATACCTTACAGATATATGAAAAACAAACCACAAAAGAAAAGAAAAATTGCATTTATTGTGGTGCTGATACTTTTCTTAGAACAAACTGAACAAACTCAGAAGAAAAAATTAATCAGAATTTTATTACAAAATGACATTTAAAAAACATATTGGGGTGTGTAAAAACCCCTAAAATTTGGGTAGAGATTAGAGAAAGCCATATCCCCTAACCAGCCCCACAAAATGACACCTCCCCTTCTCAAGCATTTGTGATCAAAAAGTATATAAATACAGAATCAAAATTAATATAAGCCAGGAAGGGGGTGTACAAAATCCAAATACGTTTCACACTTTTTGCTTCTTCAGGAACTCATGGGGTGCAGTTGGGTATGGCTGTCAAGAAAAACATAACAAATTATAATGAAATATAAGATACAGTCTTTAAAGAGCATAATATGTCAAAGTAATAATCATAAACTTACAAAAATACCATCAGATAGTCTCACCAAAAGGATATTAGCCCAATCTGGTAAAGGATCTCACAAAGTATGGCTATAGACGCTGGAGGACAGTTGATGGAACTAATGTGTAAGTAATAGCCAGAAGATCGAAACCACAGGCCTAAGGGCAGGGGCGGACTGACAACTCATGGGGGCCCCCGAGCAATAGGAAATTATGGAGCCCCTGTGTCCTCGCCCACACTTAAACCACACCTAAAAAAGCCTATGAAAGGTACCAGGGGCATCTCATGGGGCCCCCTACTGATACTGGGCCCTCGGGCAGTGCCTGAGTGGCTAAATGGTCAGTCCCCCCTGCCTAAGGGACAATGCACAGGAGGAAGAAGTAATGTCCTTCAAATAGATGGTTAAAAGATACACAGATCCTAGGATAATGAAAAAGATAGATACAACTCTGTAGGGAACTGTCAGAGCAATGCAAATAAAATATAAATAGACAGGCGCTACATTTGCTCAAACAATACACTTCATATAGTGCAATAAGTACAAAATTAGTACCACCTGAGGGTTATCTCAGTTTTGGTCCATGCAAAAAATTTTAGCCTACAGCACCTGATATTCCCAGGTTGTCTCTCATCTGGGTACTAACAAGGTCTGGCCCTGCTTAGCTTCTGAGATCAGACAATATCAGGCGCATTCAGGGTGATGTGGCTGTGGGTGGTCAAATGTGCTTAGACCAAAAAAATATTGTAACCCTTCCATATAGCTATTGAACCAATAGTGAAAATGTGAAAGTAAATAATAAAAAAAAACACAAATATAATGACAACTCTTATAACTGTCCCAAAATAGAGTAATAGAAAATTCCAAAGAGGGCAAAAAAAAATAAAAAAATGTGAAAAAATAAAAAAAAATCTAAAATATATATAAAAATATATAAAGAATATTAAATAATAAATGTGACTGTGATCTTCACCATGTGTTCATAACCGTGAAGTGTAGATGACTCACTCACCAGATCCTTTGATCCCAGTTATGTGGTCAAATGCGCCTTTGGTTATATAGGGAACCACCCTTTCTTGTTGGATTCTCCATTTTTCTCCCTCTAAATCTCCATGGATTATAGCCAGATATAAGGGATTCCAATAGGTTTTCCACTAATATACTTTAGGTTGGTTTTAGATATTCCTCCGACGTGAATGCAGCCGGCCAATTAATGAATCAGACAAGTGAATAGCTTATCTAAGTGTAGTACTTTAATAGGAATCAAAATCACATAGACAAAAATGCTCCACTCACTTGTACAGGCGCTTGTAAACCAGCACCAGTGTTTCAGGCATATATGTTTTTAAAGATGGCCGATTTGCACTTCAAGCCTCACTTTCACTTAGCTATTCCCGGACTCGGAAGTGACATAATGCCAATATATGTTGCTACAGTTGGGCTGAACAAAGCTATACAATATACAACATCTACCTGCATCAATTTAAGCATTCAGCAGACGAATGATATGTTTTGGGCACTGTCTCTTAGGACTGCGTTGGCTACATCTTTTAATGGGGTATTTTTCCCTTGGTGCATTTAAGTATGTGCATCAGAACACAATACAGGATGGTGAAGTCTCTACAACAGTGGTTCTCAACCTGTGGGTCACGAACCCTTTGGGGGTCGAAGGACCCTTTCACAGGGGTCACCTAAGACCATTGGAAAACACATATTTCCAATGTGTAAAGAGCAGCTACTGTGTAGAAAGCAGCTACTGTGTTGAAAGCAGCTACTGTGTTGAAAGCAGCAGTATTGGAGGTAAAACAACACTTCATGAACTATAATTACTGGGTAAATAATTTTATGGTTGGGGGTCACCACAACATGAGGAACTGTATTAAAGGGTCGCGGCATTAGGAAGGTTGAGAACCACTGCTCTACAGGCAATGGCTGGCGTTTAAGAGAAGTCTGTTGGATGCCCAATGACGCATGTGTGGTGTGTGGGCGTTAAGAGATCAGCAGTCATGTGATCGCTGAGTTCTCACCCTTAAAGCCAGTGGGGGACAGATGCTGCATCCACCTAGGTAAGTAAACTTTTGGGGAAAAAAACCCAAACTTCTCTTTTAAGAATGTAAATGTCAGGGTGCGTGTCTGAGCACGTGCATTGGGAAGGTGGAACAACCTATTTGAATGTCTAATTGCCTCCTATCAAATCCCCTGATATGATGGATCATAAAGGTTCAGCTTTCAGACAAAGAAAATAAATGCTACTGAATGCTTTCAATGGCATATAAAAGGTTCTATAGTCCTATCATTGTATAATACAAGAGTGTATTATGCCAGACAGAATCACAGCAATTCCCATACGCTAATATAGCAGAGCACGGATTTCTACTTTAGCATGAAGGAAGCGCTAAGAAGCTGCTGGCAGCAACTTTTGTAACAAACAACTTGCCAACGTGATTGCTTGACAGTGTATTGGCAGATCTAATGTAATGTAATGTGCAAGGAATAAAAGACATGGTAATTGTCAATTAAATAGATACGACTATAAAAGCTCCTTCTCACAGCTCTCTGAATTCAACGTTCATTCATTAAAATTCTTAAATATCACAATTGCCTGTATTTGAATAAGGTATGTTTATTGGAATTTTTCTTTTCACCAAAATTCTAACATGATGCAATTTACATATAATGCTACAATATTGTATTTATATAACCACACACATTTATTACAAATTAGTGTTGTTATGAAACAGTTGTGACCTTATCATTTATATAATAAAAACTATTTGTTTAGGTAAATGTTCCCCATGGCATTATCCAGCTCCCCATGCCCTCTTTTTGGGAATAATTTGCCTATTAGCCCACAAAATGGCCAGAATTTAACAGAAGGATCAGGAGCGCACTGACAACTCATGGGGCCCCCGGGCAATAGGGGATCATGGGGCCCCTGTGTCCTTGCCCAAACTCAAAAAAGCCTATGAAAAAGGTACCAGGGGCATCTCATGGGGCCACCTACTGACCCCGGGCCCTCAGGCAGTGCCCGAGTTTCCAAATGGTCAGTCCGCCCCTGAGTAGGATTCATCCCGCAATGGACTTCCATGGGATTTGTTGCAAAATTCAGGATCATCAAACTTTTAACCAGATTTGTTTAACGCTTGGTGAATCAAACCTGGGAAGATTAATCCGCTATTATTAAAATATACTTTAAATACCTATTTTTTAGTCAGACAAATATGTTGCACTTTAATATTTTATATTTGCATCTTCAGATAGTGGGTGAGGCTAAAGGCTCCTTTTTCCATGGTTTAGTCATCTATTCTCATGGACTTCCATGGGCTTTGTTGCAAAATTTGTTTCTGCCAAACTTTGAACCAGATTGTCCTAATCCTTGGTGAATAAAACCTGGATTTTGCCCTTCGCTATTTAAATATACTTTAAACATTTATTTTTCAGTCAGGCAAATATAAAATGTTAATAGAAAAGGGAGTGAGCGCCTAAGAGAGAGTGAAAGCAGCTATGCACAAAAAGGGTAACCACTAACCCAATAAAATATGGTAATAAACATAAAAACATGTAGCGCTAAGGTAAGTATATGTATATATGATAACCAAAAAATGCAATGAAGGAAATACAACAAAAAACTGAGTATATATCAATATTCAGAGATATCTCAATAAAATATAAAGTTCCAATATGGTGACTTCAGTGCATCTAGGTCCGGTAAATAGTGCCAAGGTGGTGTAAAAAATGCGCACTCACCGGACACGCATATTAATAGCGCTATAGTAAGTTAAATCCAGATGTCATGTGGAGCCACATCACGCCATGACGTCACGCCGCCGGAGCAACGTGGAGCTCCGGCAGCCATCTTTAAATACCTGACGGTCAGTCTCATCACTGTCTGGATTTACCCATTATTTTATCCTTGTCATTTTGATGCATCATTAATAAAGTAATTCTATCAAACCTACTACACTATGGGAGTGTTCCTGTTTCCACTCCTCGGGGGAGTATTTTAAATCCTTAGACCCATCACTCCAGGACAGGCAGATACCCCTCTTAGAGGCTTGATGATACCTACCCCGGGCAGGAATAAGGATCCATAGCGTTTGGCACATCACCTGATGACCCATCCCATAGAGGGAAGATCTGTCAGCATCAGGTTCGAATAGATGACATCTGAATTTAACTTACTATAGCGCTATTAATATGTGCGTCCGGTGAGTGCGCATTTTTTACACCACCTTGGCACTACTTACCGGACCTAGATGCACTGAAGTCACCATATTGGAACTTTATATTTTATTGAGATATCTCTGAATATTGATATATACTCAGTTTTTTTTGTTGTATTTCCTTCATTGCATTTTTTGGTTATCATATATACATATACTTACCTTAGCGCTGCACGTTTTTATAAATATAAAATGTTGCACAGAAATATTTTATAATTGCACTTTCAAGTGGGTGATGTTAAATGCTTTTTTTACATGCTTGGCCATCTATTCTTAACAGATTAAAAGCCTGTTGTTTACAGAACCCAATAGCTCTAGCTGTTTTTATTTTTTTTTTTTTTTTTAACAAAGAAGTAATGTAATTAAAAGATCTACAAGACAGCAAGGTTAGTGGGATTTTCTTGGTACCAACAAAGACACAGAAATTTAAAGAATAAAACGTCATATTTTTATTACAGAAAGATATACTGTAATATTAAAACAACATTGCTTGTTTAAAAGTCTCTCTGAATAAGCTGTACTACAATCACACCAATGGTGCTATCTCACACCCACAAGCTGTTATTCCAATGTAAAAGTGAGTCTGTAGTCAGCCAATCTCAACATGTTTTGCAGTTTCCTGCTTCTTCAGGAGTATATTAAGGCAACCCTCAAAATTTCCATTCGCCCACTCACATTGAGTGAGTGGAAATAAGGTTGGGACGAGCAGCGCCGGCACTAGGGGTGCATGGGAGGGTCGGCATTAGGGGCAGTTACAAGCAGCGATCTTCTGTATGACATTCAATGAAAATGTATATTATATAGGGCGGGTTAGAGCCCAACCTCTGTAGCTGTAGGATAAAGGTGCCAGATGGATATCTGGGATGTATGGATGGGGCAGTAACACTGAGGCAACTCTTCTTAGAGTGGAAGCAAGGCTCTAATGCAGTAAACATGAAAAAGAGAGGAAGGCGCCTCTAAGTGCAGTATAGACAATTTATTAGTGAAGAATAGATAAATTGTACTTACAAGATAAATAGTTAAAAAGACTCATCGTGTGGTTTAATAAGATCCAGGTGAGACATCCAGCCATCCAGCAGCAAACTCTGTCTATAGGATCAGGATCTGATCCTATAGACAGAGTTTTCTGCTGAACTGGTTGTTAAATCAAGGAGTTCAAAGAATGAAAACATACCACTGCATCTGCAAAAGGTACCATATTTACACCCAGGGATTTTTTTCCCAGAGAACAGGTGCAGGAACTCCCCCCTTGTCTTCGCCCCCTATGCACCTCTGAGCACCTTTCCTTGGTTTCATCCCCATTCACCTCCCAGTACCACCCCTTTTAGACCCCCCTTCAACAACAATGGACCCCAAAACAAAATACCACCCCAGCAACACTGGACCCCCTGAAGCAACAACACATCTCACAGCAGCCAGCATTAATAGATCCCCAAGGAGCCAACAACAGAAGACTTCTTCTTCAACAGTAGATCCCTCTCAGTAATAATTGATCTCAAGCAACATAAGACCCCCCCCCCCCCCAGGAACAATATACCATCATGCAAAAAATAGATCCCCTCCAATAAGAATAGATCCCCTAGCAGCCAGCATCAATAGACCCTCCCAGCACCCCTTGCCATTACATACATTCAGTGCTGGAGGTGCCAGAACTGTGTTCCCCTGCACAGTATACATAGCATAACTATATTCATTTTCAACTCAGAATAATAGGAAAAAGTATAAAAAAAAAAAAAGAAAGAAAAAAAAACAAAACATACCAGGCATGTAACAGCACCACACTTCCAGACTTAGGCTGAACAGCACGTGGTGCACATCCCTCAGATCACCAGGTGTATAATGATGCGATCTGAGCAATATGGTTGTTAAGTCAAAAAGATCAAAAGGTGAAAGCACAACGTTGTATCTGCAAAAGATAACATATTGTCACTTACCTGGTTGTGGAGCCTGACGTGTAGAGGAGGGCGTCCTCTTACTACTCCCGCTCAAAGCCCCTGATAGTGGGGACAGAGGGCACCGAGCCAGGAGTGGCATGAGTGCCTGGTGGATCTTGAGATGACTGTTAGCAGGTGATGACCCTGGAGACCAGGATGCAGGCCAGGTGCGGATGCAGGAACGTAGGTGCAGCAGCAGGTAGGTATGGCGGCAACCAGGATACAGTCCAGGTGCAGATGCAGGAACGTAGGTGCAGCAGCAGGTAGGTATGGTGGCAACCAGGATACAGTCCAGGTGCAGATGCAGGAACGTAGGTGCAGCAGCAGGTAGGTATGGCGGCAACAAGAATACAGGCCAGGTGCAGATGCAGAACGTAGGTGCAGCAGCAGGTAGGTATGGTGGCAACAAGGATACAGGCCAGGTGCAGATGCAGGAACGTAGGTGCAGCAGCAGGTAGGTATGGTGGCAACAAGGATACAGGCTAGGTGCAGATGCAGGAACGTAGGTGCAGCAGCAGGTAGGTATGGTGGCAACCAGGATACAGTCCAGGTGCAGATGCAGGAACGTAGGTGCAGCAGCAGGTAGGTATGGTGGCAACAAGAATACAGGACAGGTGCAGATGCAGGAACGTAGGTGCAGCAGCAGGTAGGTATGGCGGCAACAAGAATACAGGCCAGGTGCAGATGCAGGAACGTAGGTGCAGCAGCAGGTAGGTATGGTGGCAACAAGGATACAGGCTAGGTGCAGATGCAGGAACGTAGGTGCAGCAGCAGGTAGGTATGGTGGCAACAAGAATACAGGACAGGTGCAGATGCAGGAACGTAGGTGCAGCAGCAGGTAGGTATGGCGGCAACAAGAATACAGGCCAGGTGCAGATGCAGGAACGTAGGTGCAGCAGCAGGTAGGTATGGTGGCAACAAGGATACAGGCTAGGTGCAGATGCAGGAACGTAGGTGCAGCAGCAGGTAGGTATGGTGGCAACAAGGATACAGGCCAGGTGTAGGCTAAAGAGTATTGGTGATTTAAATAGCCCGCTTTGTCACGCTGGTGCGCATTCATGTAACCGCGTGATCCCGCGCATGTGCATGCGCTCTGCCACGGCTGACAGGGATCTGACTCCGGAGCATAGGTGTGCACCGGCGAGTGGATGATCCCTGACACATATATACACACACACACACACATATATATATATAGTGTATATTTATATCTGTGACTATGTGGTATGAAACATGCTTAAAGTTTATCCCCAAAACAAGGCAACTCACCTCAATAACCAGAGCAGCTTAGTAGAAGGTCCAGCAACCGACTTGTGCACCGCCAGCTACAAGAGATGGGAGACCAAACTGGGTAGTGGTTCATAAGTGTCCTGTCCTTCTTGTCCTGTTTCGCTTGGGGATGATGACAGGGTATAACAGGGCACAGAGTAGTATGGGTGCCTGCAGGAGATCTGGTTCAGAATATCTTGGCAGCAGATGCGGAGCTGAAGCAGACCAGCTGGCAGGAGGCAGATACTGAATCTTGGATGCATAGTAGAATGGGCAGAGGTTGGCAACAACCAGGCAGCAGGAGTACAGAGTAAGGTACCAGGAACAGAGTTGGAGGCAGGCCAAGGTCAGTGTTAAGTGGTCAGAAGTACACCAGAACAGAAGGCAGGTAGAAAGGTCAGGTCACAAGCCAGAGTCAGCAAGAAAGGCTCAGGAACAAGCAGAATCAACAAGCTGGGATACAGGTGAACACAGGATCAGAAGGAGCTGATGACAACTCAGCAATGAACATCCGTCAAAGGCTTTAATAGGCCTCTGGGCATCAAAGTCTATCAAACAAGCATGCTCACACACAGGAGCATGCACGGACCCTTATGCTCACGCACACGTGTAGACGAGCACAGGGTCCTAAGGCAGTGCACAGTTCTATGGATCGTTCTGAACACATGCATGTTCCTTTGAGCTTGGGAAGTCCTTTGAACATGAGTATTCCCTTGAGCATGGGCATTCTTTTGAGCATGGACTTGAGCATGACTTTCCTG